ATGGCTTGCTTTTTATTCCGCGCAATATATCCTGTGTCACTTTGGCCATGAACTTGAGCGACCGGCCGCGGTATTGATATAGATTATTACTACGGTGAACCCGTGGTTGAAATATACAGCGGCTGTATTCTTTAAAGTATGCGTAAACGACAGAAGTACGCACGGATTCTGACCCCTGCGACGGAGGTTGGGATTCTGAAAGCCTGGAATCCAGTAATCAATATGGTACCAAAATGTTAAAATTTGGCGTAATATTTCCTGTGTCATTTCGGCGATTTGTGTTAGCAATGTTTTGGTCGACAGGGCTAATATCTAATTGTTTATGGCTCGGATTACTCTTCTGGCGTTTACCGATGCAGTAAGCGACGATGAATTTGGCGAAGAAGGCTCGTGGGAAAGCAATTCGAATAAAGAAGACCTTCCTAATTAATTTTAACATTACTATGAATAAGTAATAAGTATGTATTATATCTTTATATGACATTATATAGCATGTATATTCCCGAAAAATCGTCGCGCGACGCAGCTGTAAGCGACGTTTATAATGATTCACAATATCTCGTCAATTAATACATAAAATAGAGCAGTATATAAGTCAACAGGCAGATAAGTAATGTATTTTGTGCAGTGTAATATGTTTGTAGTGTGATACGCGTGAACATGAATGACGCATTGCGCTTTTGGTGTGCGGGTACACTTTCATGAACAACAACATAAAGATAATGTATGTATGGCTGAAGGCCGAGTATTTCACACAATTTCGCCAAACTTTTACGAGCGTTTTATATAACTCTATATCGGCTTTAAACCTTCTTCTGTAGTCCTATAAACTTCTCACTAGCCGCCATCATCGTAATTACTTGCAACTACGCACGCGCGGGCGTCAAAGAGGCAAATGTCCGCCTTGATACTAATATTTTTTGGCATGTTTAGAATATTGCGATGGTATTTTACTGTTTTACGCCGGCCGCTGGGCCAGTGTGAACGCAGGCAGGCGTCTTGTTTTATTTAAATTTCCGATCTGTGGGACCACAAAAGTTATCTCATTACGCATTCAGAATATATTACGCAATGGAAAATTGAACAGCTAAAGCACATTCAAGTTCAAGCCCAAAAACTGACTAGTTTTAAATCGAAAACGATAACAAGCACTTCTTACAGAAGTTTGAACAAAATTTAACTGACATTATTTCCAGTATTTTAAACAGTTTTTCGGCAACTTTAGCTAAATTTCAAGCGCCAGAAAAAGCATGCACGTGACGTCACTGAGTACATGTTAGGAGAATTTTAATGTCGATCTTTTGAGTAAAATTGTTTACTATGTAATATCTTCTACTTATATTGTAAAATAAATAAAGAACTCGTCTCGTGTGTTTATTGTGCGATAATGCTACCTCTCGTGTTTTACACGCTTCTCTCGTATTCTCACACTGAACATTCCCCTCGTGCATTATCACATCATGAACGCACGCGACTCGATCGTTTTCTATTTCTTAAATAATCATCCATATGAACTCACCCACTATATAATCAGACATTTCTCACTTCCTTTTTATTCAGACATTTACTGAACATTTAATTATATCTCTTATTATTATACTACGAGAGTCTACGACTTTAATTTGTCATCTTTGTCTTTGGATTTGTTTGATTTTCTTTCAAAGAATGTAATAATTATATATATATGAATAATAGCATTTATATTAGTATATAATCCTATATTAAGTCTCAGAATACTATATTTCCGGCATATATGATTTACTCTATATAAAATTAAGTAGTAAACAACAAGGCAAACATCGTATCATCACTCTTCGTATTCGTACCACCACTAACAGATCCCGTTCCAGAGATAGCCAGATACTTTGATGGATATGACTTAGAGCGAATTGAGAAAAATCCAGTAATTATTCGGAATTCAATGGTCAACACTGCTTCTTTCGTTTCATTTTCCTAGAAAAAAGATTAAATTTTGATTATATTTCTCATAGTTTACCTTTAATAAAGCCAATAACTTTGAGATGGAGTGAAGGACCTTTCACAATTGTTACAGCTAGACTCAGACGAGAGTAGTACATATTATAGACTCAGACAGATCTAGAAAAAAGTGGGATCCTGGATAGCTCGATTTTTTG